TGATTTCACGATTCGATTCGATTCACGATTATTATAATTTTTTTAAACAAAATTAGATTTAAGACAAATTATAAATTAAATGTGTCCTTTTATTATTGCTTGGACAAAATGCTGCACATTTCTTTGTGAAATTGAAATATAATACTATAATAATATACTAATATAGCACTTGCATATTACTGCTCTTTTGTTGGTTTTGATTGCTTCTATTGTCCTCATTTGTAAATCGCTTTGGATAAAAGCGTCTGCTAAATTACTACCTTTATTTAGTAATTTTAATTAATACCTTGAGGTATTCAGCCAATCACAACGCACTAGATAGCTGGCCAATCAGAGCAAACCTCGCTTTTCAGAACGATGAGCTTTGTAAAAATCGACGCGTTTCAGAAAGGCGGGGCATAGAGCAGTAACAATAATGTACAGTATGTGGAAAATGTGTTTTTTGAACCTTAAACCGCATAAACACATTTCATCACACTAAATACACAAAATAATGTTCTTTTTAGCAATGTCATATGACCCCTTTAAAAAGTCAACATACACAAAATAAAAATATAAACTAAAATAACAGCAATAACAAAAATAATAGCAGTGGCAATTATATAGTCTTTGAACTTACTATATGATAAGAATTCTAAAATTATTCATTTTAATAATTGAAAATGTGTTCCTCAGGTGATGAATTAAACCAGTTGTAGTAAAGTTCTTTGGCAACAAACTGCCTCTGGTACTTGATATAGTTGCTATAGTAAACTTTATTTAACATAACAGCCATTTATGCACAAATTAGATGCATTATATAAATGCCTGATATGTAGTTTATGCAGCTTGGCTCTAAGAAATAGAAACATTAGACATTCTACATTTATTTTTGCTTATTGTTAATATTAGTGGTGTTGCTGTTGATGCTTTTTATAAATAAAATGTTTTTTATTGTTGTAATATAAAGATTAAATTTAACATGAAAGACTGCTAATTTTCAACACTTAAAAAAAAAAAAAAAAGATGACTGAAGAGGAAAAACCAAAGTGAAGTATGTTCTTCTAATGGCTTCACTCAGTCATTTATTTACTTTATAACAGTAAATAAATATCGGTTCTGCATATCGGTTATCGGGCACATAAACATGCAAATAATTGGTATCGGTTATAAAATATCAATATCGGTCGATCACTACATCAAAGATGTTTGTTTCTTCATGAGAACAGAGAAATTTAGCATTGCATCACTTGCTCACTGACGGATCCTCTGTAGTGAATGGGTGCCATTAGAATGTGTGTTCAAGCAGCTGATGAGAACGTAATAATCCACAAGTAATTCACTTGACTCCAGTCCATCAATCCATTTATTAACTGTTTGGACTCTTATTCTGACAGCACCCATTCACTGCAGAGGATCCATAGTAGAGCAAGTGATGTAATGCTAAATTTCTCCAAATCTGTTCCAATGATGAAACATCTAACAGACAAACTCATTTACATCTCGGTTGCCCATAGGGTGAGTAAATATTGAGCAAATTTTCATTTATGGGTGAACTATTCCTTTAATTATTCTGCAGACGTTTGAAAGGGGCTACTTCTGCTTTCTATTGACCGACTGGCCGATTATTTAAGATTTAAAGTCACAACTTAACAGGAGTAGCAACAGCTCATTTCTTCCGAATTACAAAGCATGTCAGAATGAAATGGATAATCGAGGAAAAAGGGTGAGGGCTTGATTATATCAAACAGTTGTTGACTGGATTGGAGAAGTCTGGAATACGACACCACAGAGAAGTCTACCATTCCAGCAGAACACAAAGGCCTAGCTTAATTATGATATGCCTTTAAAATGCTCAGTCAAACTGAAAAATTGGCCTTACCTGGTTGCCAACCTCTGCCAAAATTATGATCGCCGGGAAAGGCACCATGGTTATTATGGGCTGGAGGTTCCATGTTCTGTATTTCCTGGCCGTTGGGCTGAATCCCCTGCTGGTCAGCAACCGCTCCAGTGGATTCTTTCTGTGCAATCCATGCTTGTGCTAGAGCAGCCCAGTCCACTTGACCTGCAAAAAAACACACAAAACTCAAACACTGCACCAAACCGAGCAGTTCAAACAATTGAACATGTGATTAGTATGTGCAAGCTCAATTAGATAAGAACAACGGCCGACCTGGATCTTGCTGATGCTGAAATGATTGCATCCACTGCTGCTGTGAGCCCAGGGGCCACTGAGGCCAGGGCTGTCCTCCCTGGTCCCACATCTCTCACCGTGTGATTCCTGTGCCAGAAGCATTATGAAATACACATGCAGATGTTTATGAAACAAACATTTTACTTGCATAGCATTAACAGCGACTGCAAATATAGCATGTAAGCATTTTGAATAGCAGTTCCCTTATAAGAACATGAAAAACAAGCCCTGCTTTTTCATTGTCGATCACTACAGCTGTAACCCTGCACAGCTGCAGTTCCGGAGACGCACAACAGAAATACTGCTCTCACTCAGACTACTGCAAAACCAGTCTAGGATAGTCCATGCATCCTTAAAATGCACGCGGAGTGATTTTATAACGTATTTCTGTGCTTCACTGAATATAATTATGACACGAATAAAATAGACATACGCGTCGTCTTAGAGCTAGCTTTGCAAGCGTTAGGCCGCGCGTCTACAATATCAACACTTATTAAAAACTTTATTCTTTCGGCTTAAACGCACAAATTTTACTAGTTCAGCGATCGCCGAAACTGATGCGAATAAGCGCAGGACTCTGAAGTAGTTGGGTGAAGGTTTACAGACACGTTGCGCTCTCTTACCTCTCCCGATTCTCACCAGTAAAATGGCGATGATGACCCGGAAACAATGCCAGCAACAGTGACCTCACAACACAGGCCCTCTAGTGGATACTTGCGACGCACGTGAAGATATTATAAACACTTTCTATACACACCTTTTTATTGTTTATTATTATTATTTATTTATTAAATAAATATAATCATTTAAAATAATCTCAAAATCAGATTTCACTGTATGAACGTAAAAATCTGAAAGAATAACCAAAATTCGCTGAACCTAGCAAGGAAAAATTATTAGCCTAATAAATACCTTTTAAAAAAAATTGTACAAATTGTATGCATATTTGTGTTACATATCCAAAATCTGCATATTGTTAAGTCTAACCTTTTTACAGCAAGGTCCCCATTGTCAAAGATATTTACGGTATTTCTGTAATGACAAAGCTGTTTGTTTTCAAACTTTTGCATCTACAGAAATGAGAAGTGACAATGTATTAGGCCTAATATAAAAAAACTGAATTTTATAACTCCGGAAGTTTCAATAACTGAACTTATTACGAATTTAAATGGCTTTTCGTGTTCATGATTATGGATTTGTTTTATTCTTTCCCCACTCACTGATTGCAATATTTCAGCAATTTACAACCAATAAAATGTTTTTGAGCTTAACATAACTAGAAAAAACATCTATTATAAAAATTACCATGACTTTTTAAGACTTATAAAATAAAAAATTGACAAGTTGTTGGGGGAACACATTAAAATAAGAAATACTATGTCAGCTTACATCTTGATTTCTATTGTTTTTTGTTAATAATTTCTAGTGGGTCCCAGCCAGCCCCCAGCTGACAACCACTGTTCTGAGTCTTTTTTTTTAAATGACTGATAAAGAATATTAGCTTAAAAGTCATTTTAAGTATTAAGTATAAAATAGGTTTATATAGATTTTGAGAGAGAGAGAGAGAGAGAGAGAGAGAGAGAGAGAGAGAGAGACGTTTTTTTAGGCCTTATATTAATTTAGAAACTATATGAAAGTGTCTTACCACTAGACCGTTTAAATGAACATGAACATCTTAAATTTACCAGTTCCCATGTCAATAAATACACTGGACATATATTGTTATAAGAATGCAACGTAACAATCTTTTCTTTTAGGTTCTTCGGTTGCTTTTTTTGAATTCTTTGAATTTAGTTTCAAAGACAAGAGTGGTGTAGTATTTACTGTCACACCACATTGTATTTGTTTCAGTGAGCAATTCAATACCACACTACGACTGAAGCTTGTGTGGAATGAAGGAATTTTGAAGACAAACCTTCGACAAACCAAGAATTGAGAAGCACAAAAGAGTTGAATACACTAGGCATTTCAGATAACCTCTCTGGCATCTTTAACACATCATAGCAGAGAAATGCATACAGTAGGGCTGGTTCAAAACCAAGAAATGAAATGGCCATTACAAGTAGAGCTTTGATATCCTATCCATCATACCGATTCATATCATGCACTTTTAGTGGTGTCCAGTGATGGAATATAATTCACCCAGCCTCCCTTGCCACCCCAAACAGACAGAATTGCATTTGAAAGAGTGACAGAAGAGGTTACATGCTGTAGAGTAATGCTGGGTCAAAAAAGATAACAAGCATCATCTCTAACCACTTGTTATGTCTGCCCTGAAGGTATGAAGAAAAGCAAAAACCCTTTTCCACCCGGATATATCTGAATGTCTCCCTTCACATTCAACGGATTCTTCTGAAAGCAAAATCAGCTCCACCCGTCCCTCATATCAGGTTTCTCTGTCACTTCAGACCGAGGGGAACACATCCAATCATTAACTCACATTAAATCACTCGCACAACCTCCCTGAAAGAGATCTCTGCTTTAAAAATAGACATGCTTTGCAAAGATTGCACACTCTTGTTGGTGTTTTTACACTCTGTTGTAACTGATAACCGTCTTGATTCGAATGTCACGGAATGAGGAGAGGAGGAAGGCAGAAGGACACGATCGTTTCGGACGTTGCCCTTTTTTGATTCCACACCCACCTCCTCTTCACCATTCAGCGACATGGTCTAAAACAGCACGCCTTTGCACCCGTCACGCCGAATCTCAGCCGAGGACAGAGTGAAAATGGCATCCTGGGATTTGTGGCGACAACATCTCCAGAAAGAGACCCCAAATGTAACGAGATGAAATCATTTCAACCCACTCAAAGGTTTTCTTCAACTACATGTATTTAAATGATTTTGTACTGGATTATGTTCACAAAATTCAAGCAATAGAACAGCTTGAGGAACCCTGAAGCCATAAACACCACACAAATCTATGGTGTTACAATATCTGCCTGGTAAACAGAATAAATAGTATTGAACAAGATACATATTTTACATACAATTATGTATATTTCTAATCAGTATATACACAAACCATTCTCTTTATACTCTTGTATGAATCAAATACTTTGCTAAAGACATGCAAAACAATCTCAGCCCTCATAAACTGTAGGCACTGATGTAGTTTCAAAAATCAAAAAGGGGAAATAATAAGAAATTGTTTTCTACTCTCATTCATTTCTGAAAAATTAGGCATGAGGCAAAGTCCAGGAATATTGCACCAACTCCTTAACCATTAGATACTGAGAAATGTTCTCAAGTTACAAATTCATAAAACTTTACAGGAGGGCCCACTTCTATGATTTGAATTAAACTAAATTCAAAAACATTAGTACTGATCAAGCAAACCAAAGTTAAACGTTAACACAAAAATAAATGACAATCAGCAAATTACAATTTATTATATTGTTGTCAAGCAACCTTGTGAATATTAAATTGTCTCCCAAGTAAATGATGATATGTTGTTTGCGTGTGTCTATGTGTGTGTGTGACTAGTTTGTGTGATCCAGTGCAGGATATGACGGGTTTAAACGGCTCTGAACGCAACAGCTGCATATTGTGCTGAGTTTCCCTTTCACAACAGAGGTTATAGACTCTTTTGGCACAATCCTCCCTCTCATAATATATATTCTATACATATTTATCTTAAATTACTCTTTGGCAATTTCTCCTGCAAAATTAACCCCCCAAAAATAAACGTTAGGCTCAAATATTAGCTGTAAAATATAAATAACTTAAACTCATAATATTATTTTACATCAATAATAATGGCTCCCATTTTTAATTCAGATCACCTTGAGTAATGAATGAGCCATAAGACAAAGCTTTTAGTATATGGAATCCTACATTAAAATACAGGGATATAGTCATGCAGTAAGTGCTCGCAGTTGTCTGAGCTGATATTGCGTTTTGCATTCGTCTGGATCATCTTGCATTCACGCGCCCGTCTGGATCTTATAGGAGTTCTTCATAGAAAAGTAAATAAGCTTGAGAGTTCAGCACTCTGGACTCCGGTACAGTCTGAACGCTGGTGTCACTAACATACACCCACTGACCTTGTGGGGCTGAGCTGGCCTCTCTGGAACCTAAAAAACAAATAGATGCTGGTATTCAGAGAACATCCACAAAAACATCCAGATTGTGTTAATAGTCATCAGTTTCAGCATTTTTACAGTCAATTACAACTAAGTGGAAATTTATTTAAAAAAACAAAACAAGGGCTTTTGTATATGTAAAACAATGCATGCAACAAACAATACAATACTGTATGCAAAAATGCATAGAGTAAGGCTGGTTCAAATTTATGGCTGTGTAAGTAGCACAGGGATATTTGTAGCAATAGCCAACAATACATTGTATGGGTCAAAATGATCAATTTTTCTTTTATGCCAGAAATCATTAGGATATTAAGTAAAGATCATGTTCCATGAACATATTTTGTAAATTTCCTACCATAAACATATGAAAACTTCATTTCTGATTAGTAATATGCATTGCTAGGAACTTCATTTGGACAACTTTAAAGGCAATTTTTTTAATATTTTGATTTTTTTTGCACCCTCAGATTCCAGATTTTCAAATAGTTTTATTCTTTTTCTATTCTATCTGTTTTCTTTTTATTTATTATATAATTTGAAAAAAAAAAACAAACAAAAAAAAAAACCTTGCTATGTGTACTGCATTAAGTTAACTGAGACTTGTCATAGCACTTGCATATCATTGCTCTTTTGTTGATTTTGATTGCTTCCATTGTCCTCATTTGTAAGTCGCTTTGGATAAAAGCGTCTGCTAAATGACTTAATGTAAATGTAATATATACGTAGGTGTAGGAATAAAGAAAAGCAAATAATCTAACAAAAACAGATGAATCCTGCACACTGCAATAGCCTTCAAATCATATTTTAATGAAATGTTTTAATTCTGCAACTTTCATCATGCATTGTTTTCCTAAAATCTATTTTTGTTTGATTATTTGATTCTGAGTATTTATAGCCATTTAACATATTTGAAATAAAAAATTTAGTCCTTAACTGCAAAACATTCAATTACTGTATTTATTATTAAACATTACAGAACACAATTGATACTAAAACAACCTTTAATTACGACAAACTTAATCATCACAATCATTAACCTATTCTAATAAAATGCCACCTTTTAGCTTTGCCTTCACCACATGATGTCTTCTGTAGAGTGGACTACTTTTTTCTCCATTTCAAAGCTTTTTGTGATATATAAATAAATAAAAATGACTTGTTCAAAACACCTAAGATCAATATTTTTATGTGAGAATCAATCCTCCTCATACTACAGGAACTATTTACACATCCCAACTGATTTAACGTACCATTTGCACTTTTGCCTTTTAAACAGTTCTAAAACGCAAAAAAGATTTCAGTCCCTGCTTCCATTCAGTGACTCTTTTAGAGATTGTGTAGTCTTCATTATAACCAACAATTCAGCTTCAATCTGTGCACTGCAACAGTTAACTACCACAGCTCTCCGTGGGCTTTTCACTCTGTTCCAAACACTGCTGAAAGGTGTGCTCTCTCCTTGAGTAGAGTGGAGAAGAACGCATCTATAGATCATCAACAACAAACAAATCCCACTTGGCCTTTACTAAGCAAGCCGCATCCTCAAGGTTGTGGTCCAATGCCGAGATGCAGACAATCCTTTGTTTACCCACAGGTTTTTCAGGCCTTTCAGTACCAGCTGCAAAGAAATGCACTGACGAGCACATGGAAATTATATGCTGCCTGGGTGGCTTTGTACCTGACTGGTTCCGGCGCTGCTCAGGTTTACGCTGGGGGGTGCGGACCCTCACGTAGGCTGCATAGTGCCCACCTCGCATTGATCCGCTGTGTTCCACAATGCCGTACAAGCTGTACAGAACACGCTCCCCTGACCCGAGGTTCTGCCACACACATATACTAAATCAATACTGTATACGGATTCATAAATCATTGGTCTTTACTCTTTACTGATATGTATAACTGATATGTATAACTCTAATCAGTACCTTACAAGTGGCAGAGCAGAAAGGTGCCAGGTCTAACAAAAGAGGAAAATCCACATGTCTATTAACTTTCCTCAGATTCATCCCGGCCTGCAAAGATAAAGAAAGCTCAATCAGTGTACCACCACACAATGAAGCATATAACACATGACCTTGCTCACATACACACATATACATATACAGTGGGTACAGAAAGTATTCAGACCCCCTTAAATTTTTCACTCTTTGTTATATTGCAGCCATTTGCTAAAATCATTTAAGTTAATTTTTTTTCCTCATTAATGTACACACAGCACCCCATATTGACAGAAAAACACAGAATCGTTGACATTTTTGCAGATTCCCCCCAGAGCTCTTCTTTTCTCTTGAAAGTATGCTTGGTTAATAGGTTCAGAAAACAACAATGGGCATTTCATTAATTAAACTTTACATTTTATGTCTGATGGTGTTAATACATCTAGCAGTTGTGTTTAGGTAACAAACTGGCCGAAATGACACAAAAAGAACTTATGCAACACAAATGGTGAAAGCAGGTTATAATGTAAGGAACGCTGAGGATTCAGACCTGGTGAAATCGTTTAAGGTGAAGAGTGACCACTGGAGGAAGTGCAGAGATGAGCATCTGTTTACGGGCACTGGTGTACACCTTCTCAGCCTTCTTATCTGAAACATACATAAAAACAACATAGTCCGATCTACACTTTTACCAGTATTTCTGATCAGCCATAAAAATAGCATTTTATGTTTTTGATTTAATTTATTCCTACATAAAGAACACACCCATGTTCTGTAATAGCTCCTAAAAACCCTATCTGGACAGCATAAAGTCATTGTTTATGAAGTCAGTACAAAGTCATTTTTTAATGAATGAATAGGCAGAATTTGACAAAGAAATTGCAATGCTTAACATGGTGGCTATAAGGAAGGATGGCATACACATAGCTAGGTAAAAAAAGAGTGTTAATTTTAAAGCATGTTAATTGTTTTATATGTAACTTAATTAAAAAAACAATACAAATGTAAGGTTTTTACTACATGATTTCAGCCAAAACACCTAAATTTGACACATTGTGCCTTAAAACCACAAGCAGAGTCAATTTCGGTGAAAAAAGTGTGTAAAATCCTTTACACTCACTTTACACAGTGTAAAATCCATAAATTGTCAGATTAAATGGATTTATGACCAATTTCCAGAGAAATTTTTGATAAAGAAAAATAAATAAATAAATACATAAATAATATATATTGAAATAAAATAAATGTAGCTTTGGTAAGCATAAATATGCAGGTAGCTTTTTTCTTGCAAAATAAAAAAAAAAAAAATAAAAATCTTCCCCAAACTTTTGAATATTACTGTATTCATTAAAGGTAGTATATCTTTCAGCAACACTTTTTTACTACGCAGTGGTCAGTATATGCAACTATATATATATATTTCATATGTGTATACATACCACTCCTCTTCATCTGCCTTTGCCTTCTCTCGGTGCAGTTCTCACAGAGCAGTTTGTTGTTGCCCATCAGCAGCTCAACAGAGGTGAACTGATGCAGGCAGGACTGTACGGAGCACTCTTTAGAGCTGGGGGTGTAACTGTGACAGAGGGCTTGGAAGGCCCCTTGATGGTGCTGACGGTCTCTCTCCCGGACCTCGGACGGTTCCTCTGGGCTGTGACTGACAGGTAGAGTAACAGTGGAAGTGTGCACCAGGCCTAGCTTGGACACAGCACTGACAAGCTGCTCTACAGCGCCGCCCTGCGGAGCGGGGCTCGGGCTCAGGTTTGATTTTAGACTTGGATTGTGTGCTGTTGAGGCTGAAGTGGTGGCGGTTGAGACTTTATCTGATATGCTACTGTGAGTGGACACAGATGGGATTCGTGGTGACCATTCGCTCTCGGAGGCCTCGCTGTCTGCATCGTTACTGCTGTCCTGCAGGTTGGAATCCTTCTCGCTGCAGTCTGATTGGCTGCCCATCGTATCCGGCCGGCAACTGGCCAGGCCACGCCCAGCCACACAGGGCTCCTCCTCTTGTCGGCTAGAAACCAAATCTGCACCTCTCTCATCATGAGAAGTGGACGAATGGCGACCCTGCAGCTTCTAAGCGCATCATCATACAAACAAACATAAAGTAGTGTTAAAAACAACGAAGCAGACTAGGACATATGTTTTGGAGTTGTTCTAAGATTAGTAATTATTGGATTTCAGTTTTTCATTTATTGTCAGAAGTGTTGGGAAAGCAATTGGATCCAGACCCAATTTTAGCTGTTTTTGGTGTCAGTAGTGATAATATGGAGCTATCTAAAAACCAACATATAATGCTTGGATTCGTTACACTCTTAGCACGTAGATTGATTTTGCTCAACTGTAAACAGAAAGAGCCACCCCACTGCTCGGCACTGATTAAAAATGTTATGTCCTACCTGCAACTTGAAAAGATAAGATTTTCCCTAAAAAATACAAATACATTTTTTTATGCAGCATGGAAGCCTTTTATTAATTATTTTAATAAGAAAGCAATAGTTGAACCCTAATGTAAGCAACACCCCCAACACGTGTACGTGATGAAAAGTAAGTGTGTGCTTCACTTATTATACACAGCAACACATGCATTGTATATCCCATGTATGTGTGGGCATAAAGACTTGTGAAGGCGACTGTCCCTGTGGTCTTAATGAGAGGTGACATGGTCAGTGACTGTGTTGGTGAGAGAGCTGTTAGAAGACACAGTCACAGTATAGCACCAATCAATAGATAATTGGCCATGGTGGCAATGTCTGTGGGGCTCGACCAGTCTCCCACATTGTCCCGTCCTCACGCTCGGGATGGGCTATTTAGGTCAAAAGCCTGGTTAATCCCACTCCTTCAGCCACTCAACCCCCCAAACCCCCATCTGTGTCGGACCCTGCTGCAACACACACTAATTAATCACACAAACACACACACCCTAAAATAACTAGGCCACCACACTCTCTTGAGAAGTTGAGCTCACTCGAGCACCCCATTCTTAGCAGTTTTATTCAACAGCTAATTGGTGATAATTCAGTGATGTTAATTAGCATATTGTGACCAGGGATCCAATTGGCTAATCATCATAAATATTGTGGTGTCCATGTTTGGTGACTGGCTTAAGGGGTCTCAGCTCCGTTTCACACTGTAGGTGAGAGATGAGGCATTTTGCACTTTTATAAAACAATCAAAATCATAATGATGTTGATTGTAACCAACTATTTTTAAAGTTGACAAGATAATGTTTTTTTTGTGCAAAATCTTGTCTGTTTGTATATACTTGTATATTTAACTTTTGCATGTTTAGATCTCAAAATCGGTATACAAATTCAAATATAATTAGTTATTTTAGTTAGTCTCTTATTCTCACTAAAGCTGCTTTTCTTTAATCAAAAACAGTAAAAACATTAACATTATGAATAGTATTACAATTTAAAATAGCTATTTTCTAAAGCTGAATTTTCAGCAGTCATTAGTCTTCTTCAGTGTCACATGATACTTCAGAAATCATTCTAATATGCTGATTCGGTGCTGTAGAAACATGTATTATTATCATTAATGTTGAAAACTGGTGCATTTTTTATATTTTTGATGAAACTAACTTTTTTTTCAGAATTCTTGTAGAATTGATTTGAAATATAAATATCTAACATATAACATTATAAATATTTATTGCTGTCACTTTTGATTAATTTAATGCATCTACGCAGAATAAAAAAACAATTGTACTGAACGATAGTGTATAAATATTTTTTATTTGTTTCATCTTAAAAACTATATATATATATATATATATATGAGAGACTGTGAGAGACAGTACATGCTGTCTTTAAATTTACTGAAGTACGCGATATTGAGGAACATTTAAACCAGATTGTTTCCTGTTTTCTCCCCCTCAGCCTCCCCTAAGTGTGGAGGGAGGGAGGTGGGGAAGGTCCTCCATCACAAAGCCTCAACAAGCAGCTGACTGTTTCCCAGGATGCACAATGAGGCCAGTTGCGCCACTTGCAAGGTTCCTAAGTGGCACAACTGTCCACATTCACAAGTCTGAGTGGGCCTGGCTGGCCCTGGGGCTCATCGCCTGATGCTGCACCCACTTTCTTAGGGCAGTTAGAGCCACTGGTGGGGTTGTGTGGGTCTTGGCCCCAGCACGTCCACATTAAGAGACCCACAAGAAGACAAGAACCACTCTATCAAACTACTATGCATCTGCCCAAAAGAGGTCATCTTCCCACCATCAGTTTGCAAATGTAGCCCTTTGCAGTGACTGGTATAGTTTATATATGCAGTGAGGAGGACTGAGGGCGTAATGCTGAGAACAAGACCCCCTGTTGACCTGGTATTAACATCTGTTTTAGGCCACTCCAGTGGAAACAGGACAATGCAAACACACAAGCAGGGTGTAAAACTCTACCACCATATACCTGAAGTGTAAAAGCTCATTCTTTAAAAAAAAAAAAAAAAAAAACCCTAGGGACCGCACACTCATCCAATTAGATCAACTTTAAAAAACCTAAATTGAGCAAGAATTGTTTTTAAATATATATTTTTATAGTTTTTAAATTATTTATTATTAAATTATTATTATATTAATTATAACTATATTACTATTTATTTTATTATTTATAATCTGAATATGGTCTTAAAAGCAATAATTTTTTTTACCTTCCCCTTAAAATTAAATCACAAGTGGTTAAAGAAGATAAGATGCACATTACTGCCAGGTCTACATGATGATCTCGACTGACCATTTGTGATCGTATTACATGAGACGGATCCCAGGTGAAAACAGGGCCAAAAGTTACTCTTTAAATAAATAAAATGAAAAAATGAATCGTGCACTCACCTTTGTCTCCTCCACTCTCATGGAGTCCAGGAGGTAATGCAGCAATTCCTGACTGTCCTGTTGCTGGTAACCCTTAAAGCGAGGGGCCCTGAACAGAGAATGAGAATTCCTGTCACACAAACACATTGGCACAAGTGTAAATACATCAAAAGGGACAAAAGGAGCCAAAGCCACGCAAACACCAATTAGCCACACACAAAAAGCAATCAGCAGCATATAGACGAGTAAAGACGAGAGAAGAATGGACATAATCTTCTCTCAAGGCCTTTTCTCTGATGCTGCATGAGGTGACTCTCGCTGCCTCTCGGGAGGTTTCAGGATCTTAGAGGCAGCTATTATTTTTCCCTGACAACTTTCATTCACTTTTCATTTCATCATTCAACCAGCTGAGGTCGGTCACAGACACGCAGCCACACGTACGCTTTCACACGCAAACAGATATATAAAGATAGTCTGACCTTTCACCAATTCTCTCATTCTACTGAATTATAAACCCAAGATTGGAATTTATTTCTCTAAGATTTCAAAGAACTGAAAAATGTAATTAAAAATCTAAAAATGGAGCCTTTAAGTATTCAATTTCCGCATTTTAATATGTGAAGAACCACCTTATACCACAAAGTCCTTTTAGAGTGATTATATACCAGCTTTGCTCACTGCTGTGTAATTTTGTTTGATTCTCCCAGGCTGGCGACGAGTTTACGTTATTAAGATGTAAGTGTTCTGTAATGGAGACTTTAAAATGGACAAAATGTTCTCAGTAAAATTAAGGGTTATACAAAAGTTCATGCAAAATGTAAATATTCAATAATGAAACCATTAAAAGTAATCCCAGAAAATTATGTATGTGTGCGTATGTATGCACTTTCCCAAAAAAACATTTGTATTAACAGTACATCCAATTCAATGTAATTTTCAGCCAAGATTTTCTTGTTTTTTTAAAACCAACAACAGCAATTTATGGCCTTTATGATTATGACCATCATTTACAGTGACCTAAAATTCAGTACATCCCTAAGCACTTGTTATATCTTGATGTCCTTCAAACACATTTAATGCCACATGCTCAATATGACTGAAATTACAGACATGCACAGAACAGAACCAGACAAGACCACCCTAAATACTCCAGACTGGAGGACAGTGGCACTGTGGAGATATGTTTGTCCTTCCTCCCAGCTAGCCCTGTGGTAAATCTAGCGGAAAAACATGTTGGGCGCTTAGGAAACAACTCCTTAGACTCTCTGCTGGGTAGCCCAGGCCAGATGTGGGCCAGCTGTGGGCAACATATGGGCGTTTGAAGCCGGCCCTGCATCAACCTGTTGTGCAATGAGGCTGGATAGCTGGTCAAGATGAGGGGAAGGCCATTTGGCCTGGTAATGAACCCAAGGGTAAAGGGGCAAGTCAAGGTGTTGGGTCGGGTTGGGACACCTGAGGCTGTCCAGATGCTCATCAATGATTTTCCTATTACCTGCTAAGCTAGCAAGCACTGTGTTTGTGAGGACAGGCTGGGTGAATGAATGTGCTGGCAGGACGGATGGTCAGGCAGTCTGGAACGCCGCTACCGTGGGCTGATGAGTTTTGACGTTCTGTGCGGCTCTGTGTGACCGGAGTGTGTTTAAGAATGTCCAGCCACCTGCTTCTAACACAGGTCATGAGCAGGAGGTCTGGAGAGACGGCTTCCCTCCCCTTTCTCTGTTTCTCACTGCTTCTTTTCTTATCAACACTACTGTTCTGTAGCAGCATGCATGAAGAACTTCCAGCATAAAAATACCACAGCAACCTACAGTGGAGTCTAAAAGTCTGAGACCAATTTAAAATCTATAACACCTGGAGTTTTAGTTTTAGAATTTTAATTTTTTTCTGAAGTAAAATAAAATATTAATTTGATAAATTATAAATATACACTTCAGTTCAAAAGTCTGGGGTCAGTAGGATTGATTATTTTTCCAGCATGGATGTATTAAAAATGACAGTGAAGACTTACATTTATTAAATAAATGCAGTCTTCTAAACTTTCTATTCATCAAATAAACCTGAAAAAAATATTATGGTTTCCACAAAAATATTAAGCAGCACAACGAATCAGCATACTAGAATGATTTCTGAAGGATCATGTAACACTGAAGCCTGGAGTAATGGCTGCTGACAATTCTGCTTTGCCAACAGGGCATACATTAAATTTTTAAATACATTCAAATAGAAAATCATTATTTTTAACTGCAATAATATTAGTTTTTAAAATAAATTTTTAAATAAAATAAATGCAGCTTTGTTAAGCCCAAGAGACTCTTTTCCCCCAAAATGTATTTGACTTTTTTGTTTTCATTCATATTGTTATGGTGATCTCATCATTTGTAATTAAAGAATTTGAATTTGAACCCCACTGTGTATGTATAGTAGATATTGACTAATATTACTTTTTTTATGAGTGATAATTTTTATGTTTCAGTGTCTCTCTAGATATCCACATCTGCCAATGTCAAACCCAAACTAGCTCTATGGTAGGAGGTTCAAACAGTAAGCGGATCAGGCTGGTACAAGCACAGCACGAGCTGCAGAAGGACAGGAACAGAGTGAATGTGTTCTGGAGGGAAGCTGACGGGTGAGATGGGCTCCAGTGGGAGAGGTGGGAGAGACTGAGTGTGTTCTGGAAACTCATTCCACTGGAAGAGAAGGCTGAAGGAGCCTGTAGCGGTGCACCCAATATGGCCCTGCCACAGACAGACAGCTGTAACCACTAACACAATTAACAGCGGATGAGTTAGTACCAGACTCCAGGCAGCCCCAGCACAATGCTGCAATGCACACATGCACACACAAGCATAATACTATCAGTTGAATATAAAACACTCCCAAACATGCATCTTACGCTGAGCACAAAACATACAGATATATGAGACAAAAACATACACACGGATTCATCCCATAGCTAAGCACTCCCAAAATCTGGCAAGTAAACATTTCATCGATCACCTCAAATATCAGCAGAATCATGGACCAATAAATGAAACATAAATGATTATAATTTAAATGACAAATTTATCTATTAAATGCATTTAGTACATGGCTCTCCTAAACACTTGATTGTGAATGGTCAATTCCGATAATCTAAAGACAAATATTTTAGTATAATGACCTTGTAATAAACTGTAACTAATTCTTGCACCAGGTAACAAACATTCAAATAGCTGTGCTGGCCTGCTGTGATAAATAAAATAATTTCCATTTATTAAATTATTTTAGTGGTTCTCAATCTTTTTGACTTCAAAGACCTAAACTGTCCAGAACTAGTAGTGTGCATATATATTATATAAATTATATAAATCCCAGAATTTTTAAGAACTGAATGTCATTTAAGAGGGCCACTCTTTTTAACCAAAATGACTTTTCCAGATGTTTGTAAGAGGAAAAAAATTTTTTACATGATAAAATTTTGGCATGGCATAACTAGACAAATTTATATTCTTTATAAAAATGTGTATGACGTTTTAAGATTTTCATTTAATTGAATTTACACTACATTTAGAAATCACACAGTCTTACACAGTCTTAAGTAGCACGAGTATATTTGTAGCAATAGCCAAAAATACATTGTAAGGGTCAAAATTATCCAATTTTCTTTTATGCCAAAAATCATTAGAGTATTAAGTAAAGATCATGTTCCATGAAGATATTTTGTAAATTTCCTACTGTAAATATATCAAAACCTAATTTTTGTTTAATAATATATGCATTGCTAAGGACTTCATTTGGACAACTTTAAAGGCGATTTTCTCAATATTTAGACTTTTTGCACCCTCAGATTCCAGATTTTCAAATAGTTGTATCTCAGCCAAATATGTCAAGGACAATATGTCCTATCCTAACAAACCATACATCAATGGAACGCTTATCTATTCAGCTTTCAGATGATGTATAAAACTCAATTTCAAAAAATTGACTGGTTTTGTGGTCCAGGGTCACATATTAGGCTACTTCATACTTATCAAGGTTTTCTAAGACCGTGGAAACCTTGGTTCTTCCAAGTGGGGGGGGGTTTAATGATGTGATTTACAAATTTTAGGTGTTTATGTTTGCTTTTTAGTTGCTTATTTTAATGCTTGTTTTGTATTATTTTAAATCATTTTAAGTCATCTTGAGGCCCAATTTAAAGTTTGCAGAGGCCCTATAGTGGGGCCCAGCCTGCTGGTTGAGAATCACAGAATTATTTGATATGCAGCCAACAAACTGATCACTAATCACTTTCAGTTTACTACCTTTTACATCGGTCATCAACATGTCTGGGTTTATTTTGTTAAAGAAAAAAAAAAACTGTTGAACCATACATTATCCTTCGAGAAGGGTCTGGCTGCAGCTGGCGCTTGCACTCTCAGACGTGCATTCTCAGGCTTGCACTCTCAGACACTTGCACTTCCACTAGCGACGTCACTTGCAGTCTTTATTATTTTTTATTCTGTTCTATTTATTGATTACTTTTTGTTTGAATCTCTCAACATTTTACAACAGTAGCCAGGTGGTGAAGACAAGAAAAAAGAAACTAAATTACGAAGTCACTTGCAATCGCCACTTGCACTCTCCGATACCTGCGACGTCACTTGCAATCGACACAAATCGTGCGTGTTGCCAATGGAGACAAGACGCTGTGGTGGTGATTTAATGATTAAAACTAATTTAGTACCGTAACGTACAGGGTCCTGCAAGAAAAAGACAAGACCCGCAAATCCGTGGCCACAGAACAGCAGAATATGAACGCAATGCGCAAAGTCTCTCGCTAAGCGTTTTCCTCCTGTAGAAAAACATAAACACTTAACATGGCGTAATGTATTAAGATGCTATTAAAATATCAAATTAAATATACAGTTTATTAATATAATGAATATGTATATAGTATTTTCCTCCCACACCGCAAAACGTGGCATAATGGACTAAAAAGGCCAAACTCAATATGCTCCTCTACATTATTAATATACATAACTAATATACAGGCAAGCAGGTGAGCCTAGAATAATTGGAACACGCACAGTTTCGTGTTAAGCGTTTTTCCATATAGAATAAACTGTCTACAGCTCTTTTATATCATTGTCTTTGTCCATTAAGCTACATTACGTGTTTTAACATATGTAGTTGTTTTTTTTGGTGTTTGGCTTAGTGTTATGTTAGAATCATTATTATACTCTTATACCTTTTGTTCTTTAATATTTTGAATTGTTTTTAGCTTTATTTTTTGTTTTTCTTTTAAATGTTAAGTTTTGAAATTTTGTTGTATGCATTTGTCATTTTTATTTAATCTCTTTATTTTTAAAATGTGTATAGGTAGTATTTATAAAGTTTTAGCTTTTAGTTTTGGATCTGTTTTTAGTTGTTTTAATACTACAATTGATTGCTTCTGTTGTCCTCATTTGTAAGTCCCTTTGGATAAAAGCCTCTAATAAATGACTAAATAAATAAATCAAATAAATAAATAATTAAATCACCACCACAGCGTCTTGTCTCCATTGGCAACACGCACGATTTGTGTCGATTGCAAGTGACGTCGCAGGTAGCGGAGAGTGCAAGTGGCGATTGCAAGTGACTTCGTAATTTAGTTTATTTTTTCTTGTCTTCACCACCTGGCTACTGTTGTAAAATGTTGAGAGATTCAAACAAAAAGTAATCAATAAATAGAACAAAATAAAAAATAATAAAGACTGCAAGTGACGTCGCTAGCGGAAGTGCAAGTGTCTGAGAGTGCAAGCCTGAGAATGCACGTCTGAGAGTGCAAGAGCCAGCTGCAGCCAGACCCTTTTGTATCCTTCACATATACAGTAGACACAAGAACTAAATGCAAAGAATTCTGTCTCAGAAACCTAACAAACATCATGTAATAAATAAAAATACCTGAAACTTGCTGTCCTTGCTCTATTGAAATAAAGAGCAAAACTAAAACTAAACAGCAAAAACAGGTCAAATATTTTTACTCCAAAAAGAAGCAACCTACTGAGAAAGTATAACCTGTAATCGGCTCAGTTTTGAATCCCATCAAGTGATTCGTAAAGAGGGAGAAAATTGATGAGATATGAGAACCAAAATAGCAGCCAGTGTAACTAGAGCTTATTATTTCACATTGCCAACTCGCACAACCAGAACATCCTTGAAAGTGCTGTAATTGGAACCTGTGAATACGTGCTTGAATCTCTGTACTAACAAACATGAAATAAGTTCCATTCCACCTCAATGTGAAGTATGCAAAGGGTTTGAAACATAATTATAACTCAAATTCAAATGTAGTAACAGAAAGCGGAAGATAAGGACATCTGGGCTCAGGGTCAGTGTGCGTGTTTACAGGCTGGGACCCTCACTAGCACCAGGAGCAGGGAATGCTGCTGACTGCTCTCTGGACCGCTGCTGGCGCTGGTGCTGCTCAGATCTGTCCAGCTGGCAGTGTGACCTGGCCCTCGATCAACAATGCCAATAGCACTCAGCTGTGTAACACACAAACACACACAGGCTACTTGTTCTTCACCCATTTTATGGTTGGTGTTGATCCCACCTTCAAAAACACTGTCTTTTAAAGCGTGATGTCTCAAAAGATGCCATTCTGCCACATTGTCCAACATAGCAAATGTACAAGATGGTGTTCAAGATGGCGCAGTAGTTCAAGTACCCCATCAGACCAACAGCTGTGACCAGTAGTTTGCCAGTCAACAAACGCATTAAACAAACAGGATCTTTCCTGTCAAGGACATGCTGGATCGCACAAGCGCACACACATAAACTGTGCAGCACAGAAGGCCTTCACTTGACCCTATGAGCTGCCGGCTCTGGAGTGCTCAAAAGTGTGCGCATGTGGGTGTGCAGAGAGGGAATTACATTAAAGGTGTATCTGAGGCAGAGAAATTCTGTGTGTTTAAAGGGGTCATGACATGCTTTTTTTAATTATTTTAATATGTTCCTTGAGGTTTACTTAATAAAGAAAAAAAAACAAATAAATATTTGGAACCCTCATTCTGAAACTCTCTTTTTAAGTGGTGGGTCCTTTAAGGCTTGCCAGTAATTGACCACTGTTATGATTGGCTAACGTCATTGCATAGGACCAACACTAGGGTGACTTTATGTCCTCTTTTCCCCGTACATGTCCTCTCCGGCCGAGATTTCTAATTCGCCCAAAATGTCCGGGATTTGGCTTTTGCTTTCTACAGTCGCCATTCAATGGGCCTCATTCATGAAACACGAGCAGAACTAATTTTTGTGTAAATCGTTCATAAAGTTTACGTCAGAATGGCTTTCAAATTCATGAAAATGTTCGTATTTTCAAAATGTTAGTTGATACGAAAGAAATGTACACCTGCTCAGAAATGTACACCTGCTCCCTACCACGTGTAAATGGTGCGTAAAACGTTCGGTGTTCTTTTTGGCAAACTGATGACACTGATTTTTGATGCACTGTCATAATAATTACAAGTTAATTTGCCCTTGCCCTCTTTTTTTTATTTTTAATTAATTAATTGTATTTATTTTTTGCAACTGAGTTGATCATTGTAAAATGCAGCGCTCGTCACTGTCACTATTTACCCAGCCGTAAATAGAGGAGGGGCAGGAGTCGGGACAAATACCTAACCATCCTACTTGTACAACGACTGCCTACAACGAAGTCAATATTACTTCTAAGTCAGTTGGAGAAGTCAATATTACTGGTTACTGCTTTATTATATTTAGTAAAATTCTTAAAAGTAGGCTAGTACGTTGCCGCCGTTAATATTCCATACCATAGCAACTAAAGCGTCTCAGCTGGAAAAACGCTGTGCCACCAAAGCGTTCTCAAGCGCCACCAGTTGGTCGTTTTAAGAAGAGCGCCTGACATTTTTTCAGCTGGCTAAAAACTCTTTGGTGGTCACACACATTATTGAATATTTATTGTTAGGCATATGGCCTAGTCTTTTTTGCATTTATGCAATATACTGGAGCCAAACCTGAGAAAGTAGACTGTTTTCTTAATCCCACTCCCGCTGAATTTCTGGCCTTCTAATATTCTAATTCTATTCTAATATTGAATATAATCAGGGAGCCGCTATAAATATGCGGAGTACATAAATCACTTTGAATGCAGCTCGTGTTGGATGCAGGGTTGCCAAATCCACATATTTTTGCACGAAATTGGGGTGATTTTAAACTGTTGCGGTGGGTTTATTTTCTCCCGTGGGTTAAAAGTTTGAAATATTACATAAATTACATTTGACTGAAATGCTTGTATCGAAACATTCTGCATTCTACCTATGATAGATAAACTGTGGTAGATGTTAAGTTTTGTGAAGGATGACCACTGGTAAGAAGCCTTTTAGCGGTGTTTAAAGTCCGCATGAAATCAAAATTGACTTTATTTACTTTACTAGCACACATTGCTAGTCTTGATGTAAACAATTAATCCATGCAAGTTAATCCTCTGAAAAAAATTGTTTGTCTTCGTAATCTTTCATCAAAATCTGAACATTTACTTCCGCTCTGGAATGGCATTCCTTTTCTGATGACATCAGTTTGACGGCTTGGGCAGAATACCCTTAAACACACCCCTCCAACCGTTAGATTGCTATGAGTGAGAGACAGAGAGGAGGAGCGCAAACATAAAACCATGCCCTCTATTCAATATTCCGTTTCAGCTGGAAATACGTCACTACACTGAAATAAAGTCGGCAGCAACTTCCGGTTCACTCGGACTTTAAGACCAATCTGCATAACAGTGACTCTAAAATATGTATTTTAGGAATGGAAATGACATTTTGAGTTTTGATATTTCGGATATGGTCATTGCACTACTTTGGGGACTACTTTAACCCCCAAACCCAACATTTTTAAACACTAAAAAAAGAAAAAAACCTTACAGGTCCCAAACTTTTGAACGTTAGCGTATGTGTAGCACATATAAAAGACATCAGGCAGATGTGGAAAAAGTGAAAGAGAACGTGAAGAAAGTGTCCTTTTTCAGCATATTTTATCAATCAACTTTATTAAAATCAAAAGTATTCATAAATGTTTACTTTTTTCAAAGCACTGTACATGCCTTATGCATTCATAATGGCTAATGTGTTTGTGCATGTGCATATACTCAAATGAATTGGGGCGCTTAAGGCTGAGATGAACGCACATGTACACATATGCAAACCCACAGGTCTGATAAAGGCACAGTACCCGAGTTAAATATCACAGAAGCACCAGAGAGACACCCAACTGCCTGGCAGGCTCCTGTCTGAGCCACCCAACCATTCAGCACGATCAAACAACGTTTAAACAACAGCCAGTGAACCGTTCAGCCTGTGCGCAGCATAAAAAAAAATCATCCCTGAGAGCAGAGATCCAACCAGCCATTTGGGTTTAAAACAGAGGCTTGAAACCGCTTGGCGTACAGTGCCGATCAATTAGCTAAGTTTAGATTTGCTGACCCACAGAGCTTTCAGAGACTTTCATAGTGTATATTTACAAATGACGACAGTGTAAACATACTTCTGACATAGCTGGTTGAAAAGGATCTTGGGGGAGACAGGCCCTTTCCCAGGCTCCTTCATGCTTTGGAGGAACAGGAACATGGCTGAGGTGAGGGGTTCTGGGCTGGGCAACGTCACTGTTAGTGGCCCCTGTAAGAAAGCATAGCACTCATATCATATCTAACACACAGAGCAGTGAGGCGTTAAGTGCATATTTAAAAGTTAATATGAGTGATATTATGACAGAGACGGGACTAGTCCAGTCCATGATAGCTGGAACCTACCAACTTAGTCTCAGCAGGGGGGCAGATCTTCATCTTATGTCCCTTCTCCTTGACGTCTTGAATTAGGTCATTCAGCATGTGGGTCTGGGAGAGATTCTAAACCAAAGCACACAAACAGCTTTTACAATATATAAAAATATTAAGAAGCACAAGTGTCTTCATCATTGATAATAAGAACAGTTTCTTGAGCACTAAACTATCATATTAGAATGATTTCTGAATGATCATGTGACACTGAAGACTGGAATAACATGAATACATTACATTTTAAAATATATTTAAATAGAAAACAGTTATTTTAAATTGTTTTTACTGTATTTTTGACTAAATAAATGCAGCCTTAGTGAGCATAAGAGACCTCTTTAAAAAATGCAAACACACACACATACATACATATAGTTCGATTTGTTAATTTCATTTAGATTCATTTGTAAAATAATCTGAAGTGTCCTTCTTGAAATAAGCTTATCCCTTTGAAACAAGCAAAAATATGGTGTTTTCTCAAGGCCACAAGGGTGAAGGTGCAGTTTTAGTGACTCTTCCACGTAATATATTTGAATTAATTTGTGGTAACAGCCCAGATAAACCATAAACCAGCTGGCTTCCACCAAAACACACAGAACTGACACAAACCAAATGTCAGGTGAGTGATTTGAGCTCTTGGACATGACTTTACCTGCATCACAGCATTGAAGAAGCAGGTGTTACCCAGGTTGTTGATGCCCTTGACTGGGATAAGTGTGCTATTCACTGGAGTCTTCCCTCTCTGAGTGTCCACATACTCAGCGGGTTCCTCTCGGAGCCTGATAATTTTTGAGGTTGTTCCTAAAAGACAGAACAGAATTTAAGTTAACAAATCTGTAGTTAGGACACTATTTAGTAAAGCAGGTTATCTACATTCAAAAACATTTCAGCGCAATAAAAAAAAAAAAGCTGAGAGCTTGACTTAAACTTTAATTTAGTGAAATGAAAACAGTTCTTCGGTTATGTGAAGATCTGGACTGGGCCTGGTCCCAGTGTGCGCCTGATTTTCTGCAGCAGAAATGGGTTAACATGCTCCGTAGCAGCTGGGAGAGGCTGCAGATGACAGCTGGATAAAACTACGCTGGTTAGGGAGCAGAGAACAAGCCCAGCTGCTCCCCGCTACTGCCATGACTCTGCGGGAGATTCTTGGCCCAGGCGGCTAAACACAAGGCCCGCAGAGAGAGTTTTTCTGCACAAAATAGCAAAACTCCAGAGAAATGACGGGTGCACTGCCTTCAACACTCAGGAGACATGAAAGCAACCTGCATGATAATTCAAAGCGAGCAGTCAGTCCTGTAAATAGCTCTCAGAAGAAGAAGCTCTCGCCTCAGAAGAGAGGCGGATGGCGCCTGTGGTTTTCAACAATACAGATACAATTATAATGCGATTTATTTTAACAATTTCTAACAGTGACTGCTTCTTTGTGAAATCATTTATTCAACAATGACTAAAACTTGAAATTTCTGAAAAAAAGACAAATGACATTGACTATTACACACAATGTCACAAATTGTAATAAATTAATTGAATATCAACTTTAGCATTTATTCAGTATTTTTTAAATTCTAAATAAACAATAACATGATAATTAGATGATAGTCATTTAAAGGAATTCTCAATTTTGTTACGCAAATCTGACAGAAAATGGTGCGTAAAGAGTAGATATCCTGTACGCAATGAAATACAGAATACAAGGCCAAAAAAGCCATGAAACAATAAACTTGCAGAATATAATAGTATTTATTAGAAAAACTATGTTCCATTTAATTTTTTTTTTTATTTGCTAGCTTAAAGAGAGACAACACACCAGTGCCAAGGCCAGAAATCTCAAAAAATGGAATAGGTTGAAATAGGCTGGATGAATATTTTGCACAGTTTTTATTCACAAATATTATGAAGCACAGCCCTTAACTTAGCCTGCACGAGACATTATCTTTTATATGCATAAACCAACTATCTGCACGTTCTACAGGAAAAAGAAATAAAAACAGCTGCAACTCAATGAATAGTGTGGACTACATACACACAACAGAAGCTTACCTGCAATTTTTGTATGCGAGATATTTTTAAAAGTTTTAATTGGTGGACCAGTTGTCAAACTGGGTGGTGGCCTTTAGCAACAAAGCATTGGACAAGTCTTAACAAAACACTGAATCCATGAATGGCTCTGGACCCTTCTTTCTTATTTTTATACTCACTGGCACCATTTGGGAAGGAGAGCACAAGTGTTCTGTCAAATGAAGCATTAATGAACAGCTACAAGCACCCAAGGCACTGAGAATGAGAAAGAAAGTCAGCATGGTGCTGCTTGCCGCTACTAAATATTGCTATTTACACTCTTTTGCAGTACTTTTATGCATAAGTAAGAGCAGGAAAACAAATGTACCTTTTTATGAGTATTAAGTAAATAAGCAGCCCTATGTCCCGATTAAATAAACATCAAAATTAATGATAAATGTATTTTAAAAATTCACTAATAAACAAAAAGCCAAAATTGGTATCAGCACTGCAACTAACAGGACTGAAAACGTAGACGAAAGTAAACTTACATTCAATAAGTTCCAGCTAATTTGGGTTCAAATGTTGTTTTGTAATTACTGATCAAATTATATTTGCTAGAGACACTAGTGTACCGTATTCATGTAATGTGCTCTTAATTGTTTCAAAATGACCTGAAGTAATTCATATCATATAGATGTGTGCAGGTTTTGTACATATCTACTACAGCTTGTTTTGTCCTCAAGTGGAATAATATGCCTTATTCTTGTGTCCCAACTGGTTTATTCTTGCATGAATGATTTCGGGTTTAGAAAGTGGATAAAATTAGTTGTTACATGCCTTAGTGTGCATTGATTTTTCCCGAACGCTACCTCCTGTTGGAAAGATCCACAAAGAGGACATACATTGACGAGCTGTAAACAACATGGAATATGATGCCTTGGAGGTCATCTTTTATTTATATGAATGACCCTTCACATTCTTGTGTATCCAACAGAATTGAAACTATTATGAAAAAGGCACTTTAAATGTACAATAATAGACATGTCAGGCTGTTGAATGCCTGTGCAGATGGGGAAGTTTCTGCAGGTCAGCCTTTGACGAATCTCTGATGGACAATACCAGGGGTCTTCATAAACGCACCTAAGCTGACACATAGATTCTCTTCAAGACTTCAAGGCTGCAATATAATCTCTTAAATTCAGACAATTAATACCAAGGCATATGGTTGGGTGGAAAAATAAATTTCTTAAAGGTGCAGTAGGAGATCTTGGAAAATGCTAACTTTAGCCTGATAGCACTGAACGCGAACTTCCCACCCTCCCTGCAATTGCCGTCCAAAGCCATGCCCCCTGAACGCATATAAGCTCACAGACCAGAATACCAGAGACAACATTACTACAATACATCAGCGGTTCCCAATTCCAATCCTCGCACTGTATGTGAAGACGTGTGTGTGTGTGAGTGTGATGTGTGTGAAGACGCTACGCAGCGCAAATCCGTGAATGAATGTTCTGAAGTGAAGTAAACTTCAACGAATTTCCCCTGCTCAGAGAGTAGGGAGCAATGAACACTGTGTAGGGATCATATCGATCGGAACACAGTTCATGCACGTAGCTCACTTCTAACGAGCTGGTTATCTGAATCGGGTGTGTTAACTAAGCGAGACATGCAAAATATGCAGTGAACTGACATTCAAGATCACCTTATTTATTGAGCCCTCCTTCTGAATCCATATTGTCACACCACCACATCTGAGGAAAAGCCCAAGGTCAATCCATGTTCTCCCATTCATTGTGCAACAATGCTCTCCGGAGCTGCCCCGAATGTTATGCAGATCCAAACACACTTATTGCACAAACTGGCCCAGAATTAAGCCTTGTTCAGTAAAAACAAATCCATTAAAATCTGAAGTGGGCAGCTTCTGTGCCCTCACGATTTTCTCACAGGGGTTAATCAGGCATCAAAACAATAGACTGGAGTGCTGCTATTCCTAAGTGGGGCCAAAAGCATCTGGAGCACTACATGGAAACATCTGGAAGTTTGTCTGTGTCCATACAGTCATTCGGGAGGGAGCCCATATGTCCAGGAACACTGTGGTGCAAACAAGTGTGGACAACAGGGACACACAGCCCATACAATGAGCAAATAGGATAATGAGTGAGTGTGATGGCAATAAGGTACTTTTGCATCTTGTCGTCCCATTTTTTTAATAGACCAGGAGAATAAATGTGCGATGTGGGAATGCCTATGGAGTTACACCGCATCTGGGCCCACTGATCAAGGTAAACAATGTTCAGAGAGCCATCTGCCAGGATGGCAGCGAAGGAGATACATAGAGGGGACTTGGGGGGGGGGTTAGTGCCCTGAACAAGCATATGGAAAAACAGATTTTTCCTCTCCCTGCAGCAGTTAGCGAAGGCAAATGTCAGTATGCACCACGGCCACGCTTGACTGTCCTGCACTCGGCACCACCACCTGGCTCTCCTTGCTCAGCCACCGAATATGGGCAGGAGTGACACTGTGGAGCATGTCCCCAGAGCAGCCTAAACGATCAGCGATCCCACTCCACCCCACCCAGCTCTCTACAAAACGCACAAGTGCCAAAGTGAATGTGGTTTCCTGTTAACTGTGTTAAAAGGAAGATCTTTCATAAGCACTGTGAAACCTTTTTTTTTTTTTACCCGCCCTCGCCCTCAACCAGCAAGAATTTATTGTGTGAAACACAATAAAAGATATTTAGCAGAATGTCTAAGCTGCTCTTCTCTATACAATAAAAGCAAACAGTGACCACAGTTGGGCCACGTCACCATTCACATGCATTGTATAAATTAAAAAAAAAGTAAGGTGGCCAAGACCATACTGACAGAAGTAATTATTTATAACCTGCTTTGTATACGTAACTCAAAAGGTCATAAAAGTAGCACTACTATTCATTGGTGCTTGAGGAAAAGCATTGAAACAAGTGTCACAAAACGAACAAGTGTTTGAAGCGTTGCAGTGGAGAACTTGCCAAGAAGAGTCAAGTACAGACTTATAGAAGTGAATGCACTGAACATGTACACTATTCAAAATCTTCCCTTTTTTTCTCATAAAGTGAAGAACAGCTCTCCTCAGGCTGAAGACAGCAAGCAGTCATGAGGAAGGCCGAGCAACACCAAATGTCTTATTAATTTGTTAATTTGTTGTGGCCGTGGGGCATGAAAACCGTGCTTCATTGCCATCTGAGGCCAAGGGTATCCAACGTCTTGATTCTTTCATGCACAAACATGCACACACACACACATATATAAATGTGCTGTTCACGTTGGCCCTGGATTGACCTAAATAGAAGAGTATTCTTCCACCCGAGGCTAACCATCCTTAGTAATCAACCAGACTTAGCCGTAAAACCCTCAACATTGGCAGCCTAAACGTAAAACAAGGTTTAAAAACCATAAAAGTGCACATCAAATAAAGGTTAATGAGTTCCAATAAATACAATCAACATTAAAGTTCAAATGTTAATGTTATATAATGTTATATATTCAAATTCTTTCAAATAATTTGAAAATAACATTTTTACATTTAAAAACATTTAAATGCTACAGGTGAAGTTACCTTACGTAAGCATTAAATCAAATAAAAAGGAATCTAAATGTAAAAATATGGACAACAAACATGCACAATTACATGTGACAGATAAAAAAAAAAATTCTAGGTGCATCCCTACTTCGAAATGTTACTTCGTTAAAGGGATAGATCACCAAAAAATGAAAATTCTGTCATTAATTACTCACCCTCATGTCGTTCCAAACCTGTAAGACCTTTGTTCATCTTCGGAACACAAATTAAGATATTTTTGATGAATTCCGAGAGCTCTCTGACCCTCCCATAGACAGCAAGGATCCTAACACGATCAAGGCTCAGAAACGTAGCAAGGACATCGTTAAAATATTCCATGTGACATCAGTGCTTCAACCGTAATTTTACAAAGCTATGAGGATACTTTTTGTGCACAAAGAAAACAAAAATAACATCTTTATTCAACAATTTCATCTTCTCCGTGTCACCCTATAGTGCCATTTTGGAGAGTATCACATATGTAAACAACGCATGCTGTTCTGTGTCAGCAGCACCGTACGCGGATACATTGTTTACGCTGTTTACACTTTGATCTGAACATAAACAACGTATCCGTGTACATACGTTGCATACGTTGTTTATGTATGTGATACTCTCCAAAATGGTGCTAGGAATTCATCAAAAATATCTTAATTTGTGTTCCGAAGATGAACGAAGGTTTGGAACGACATATGGGTGAGTAATTAATGACAGAATTTTCATTTTTGGGTGAACTATCCCTTTAAGTGCTTAGCTGTTTTAGAATGGTTTAGGAACCATAATAATTACAAAAGAGACCCGGAGTACAAGGTACAATTCTATATACAATTCTATTTTAATATTATCCACTTACTCAGGACTATCATGCAAATTGTTTGCAACTGTGTTTGGAAAAAGAATAAATTAATAAAAACAAGAAATGTAAAGCAAAATAGTTTGAACCCTCACCTCATGAAATATGAAATGAGACTGAAAATCAATAAGAGAAAATGAAGATTCAACTGCTGCATGTGCCAGCCTCTGATGCCTATTGAAGCAAAAACATTTTAATTTCCTCAAACAAAGCCTTCCCAGCTGTGTTTCAAGCACAAGCCTGGCTCTCTGAGGTCAAGTCTCTTTCTACCAAGACTCTGGTACTTGAGCTGAAGGCCTTTTTGGTGAGAGAGCGCAGTTAATAGATTTTCTTTCTTCTCTCTGCTGTTGTTGTGGAAAACTATTATGAATTCTGGAAAATTCTTGCTGGGGCTCTTTTGTGCCACGAGTCTATGAGAAAAAGCGAACACAACAACAGGCTGTGTCAAAAAAAAAGACCCTGGCCTTCAAATATTGCAGAAATGCAATTTCACCAGCTCCTCTATGCCAGCGCCAGTCCATTTCGCAGCCACAATGGCCGCCCGTTTCTCCCTCATTTAGTCAGCTCGCCAGGAACAATGAGCATGGAAGAATGGCAACAGGTAATTTAAAAAACTAGGTAAGAAGGATGTGGGCAGAAGGTGGCCCAACTCTGGCCAAATACCACAGACCACCACCAGCTACCTTCTAGTCCTCACCAGAAGAAAGTCACCAAGTGTGCAATGGTTTTTCCCTTTTCTGTCTTCGAGTTTATTGGCTCGGAGAGTCTATCGGGCTTGATCAGAACAGAGATTATATACAATTATCATCTGGTGAACACCAAGATGTTTGAATATGTTCAAGGCAATCCTGCGAAGATGATTGAGTCTGTTTTACTCTGTCTGGAGTGGACTGGCTTCCCACTAAAAGAAAGAATAAAAAGTTATTTCCCAAGCGTAGTTGCGAAATAATCAAAACTAAGTTTTGTGTTCATATATTTGAAGTAAATGTGACAACACAGCTATTTCACAAGCAAAAAGTCCTTCTCATAACATCCACCGCCTTTTAACAGCTGAGGATGCAAGCTGGAAACAAGCTGCTCCTCCTGAAGAAAACTAGACCCTCTCCCTGAAGCTCAGAGTGAGAGACGAGGAATCATGGGAGATGGGGTAGGGCAGGGGGAGGAGCAGAGCTCAGGATCCGATTGCCACACAGCTGCAGTTGTTCTTCAGGGAATCCGACCGGGGAGCACCACTCAAGCGCCTAATGCCATTAATGAGCACAGCCATACAGCAGTAACGGAATTGGAGCGCAGCTTCTCCAGCAAGAGCCTAGCTGCTCCTGGAGTGGCGGTCAACCAGTTAGGCTGGGTTTAAATGAGCTAAACTTTGCTACACCAGAGCATCAGGGCACGGACAGGGACAGAAACTGATTCAATGACTGTTAAGTATCATGCAAGGACAAGGTGGTAGCATATTTCACAGCTACGTGAAATTTTATACACTAGCCTTTGCTGATCACTGAAAAGGGAAATGAGAATTGTAACAGACACTTTGCTTCGGCATTTACTGTCAAGGTCAACTGGAGAAGGTGTCTAAGTTTGCATACCAGAGAATACAAGCTCACTTTTACACTTATAGGTGAAACTCAAATAAAACAGCTGTAACAGAAAGTAATTAAGATGGTTTCCTCAACTACACCACATGATCATACTCTTATGTTGATTCTCATAATTTCAGCTAGGCTTTACAGGATTAATGATATAGGTGAATGAATCTCATAACACTTGCAAGAACATGTCCAGGTCATACCTCACTCCAATTTCACAAAACAAAATGAAAAATGTAACAACAAAAACAACAGGACAAAAAAAGTCTAAACTGTTCAAAATATGTCAAATTTTAAAATAACTATTTTAATATGTTTTAAAGTGGAATTTATTTCTGTGATGGCAAATTTAAATGTTTAGCAGCTGTTACTCCAGTCTTCAGTGTCACATGATTAATCAAAAATGCTGATTTGGTGCTCAAGAAACATGACCTATTATTAATGTTGTGCTGCTTAATATTTTTGTGGAATAATTCCAGGATTCTTTGATGAATAAAAAGTTCAAAAGCACAGCTTTTATTTGAAACCGAAATCTTCTGTAACATTACAAATGTCTTTCCCACCACTTTTGATCAATTTAATGTGTCCTTGTTGAATAAAAGTATTGATTCCTTCAAAAAAATCTTCCTGACCACAAACGTCTGAACTGTAATGTGCATAGTAGTGACATTATTTTTATGATACTTAAGCACATTATCATGTAAACAATGTCACAGCGTTTAAAAGCTTCCTTTTTTTTAAATATGAATAGAATTTCCTCCTTTCTGATTATTTTTTTTCTTCTGATTGTGGAGTGAAATATGACCCACAAGACAAATTCATCAATAAAAAAAAAAGCATACAAAGAAGCAGTTGATCATGGATCTGATGATCTTGGAAACAACTTTTCCAAGACATGACAGGACTAGACAAGTAAGTGGAGAAATAACTGAGAAAATGCTTCTCATTCTAAATGTGTAAGAGTAACTTCATCATGCATCCAAGGCAGCATTGCTGCTGGAGCTCTAGGTGGAGCCGGGGAGCTGCTGTTATGACAGAAAGCAGTCAGCCAGTTATACCTGGGTAACACACTCAGCAGGAGCTAAAGACTGAGCCAGTATAACAAATTTTAATACATCACTTATAAGACACAAATCAATGCTAAAATGAGAGGGTCATTGTACCGTGTCTTTCTTGAGCAGTTTTATGTCTTTCTTACAATAATTATCATTGCATTTACAAGCATTTACTTCAAACAGTAACTGAAACACAGCGCGCTGTAAGCCAAGGAGGATTTATGGCATTAAGATTTTTCTCACTGACATGAAAGCGAGGGACAAGACGTTATTTAAATCAGTTGCAAACAGAATGTATTCAATCATGGTTGCTAATGCTGTTTAGAAACGTATTGTGTGAAATGACCGATTTTAAATAAAGTATGAGCGGTGTGAAAAGTCAAAAATGAGACAAAATAACCTAGGATTTAATTTAACAAGGAGTTAGAATGATCCAAGGTTAACTATTTCAAGTGTAAAATACCTCATATATTGTGAAAAAGTATATGTACAAATGAAACTTAACTTAAGTGAATGCAGCAGAGGATATTGAAGAAAACGGCAGATTCTTTTGCCTGTGAAATATCACAGTGCTTTCAGGCTGCCTAAAGACTGCGGGGATGAAACATGTCCCTCATTGTATCTGGCAAACTAAAAACCAGTGATCCCAGGACAAAGGTCAATGACTGACAGATGTGCCAACATGGCATTGCTGTGTACAGAGAAACAATGAGGAGCTTCTAAAAGAGAAATCAGCTCTTATTTGAGCTCCCTACAGTACTGGAAAACAAGGTGATTTTCTTGTTTTAATCTTTAAAGAAGAGTCAGCCTCTATCAAAGCTGAATCTCCACCACAGCGTGAATGACTGTAACTACTATACGCAGATGAAAAAAGAGGTGTTTTTCTAGGATTAAAGATAAAGTCACACTTCTGCTCGTTTTCCTGTGGAATAACTACCTGAGGTGGCCTTTGCTGAGTGCTTCTGCAGGAAATCCAGAGTCTGAGCCAGCGCTTTCTTATTGCAATGAGTGGAGAGCTCTTCCTTGCATTCAAAACACCTGTTAAAGGAGAATTTTTACATCTATTATGCCTTTCATGTCTTTTACAAAAGAGCATACACTACCTTTCAAAAGTTTGGGGTCCGTAAGAATTTTATATTTTTGAAAAAAATCTCTCTTATGCTTACTAAAGCATTTATCAAGGCACATTTATTTGATCAAAAATACAGTAACTTAAAATAACTGTTTTCTATTTTAATAGATTTTAAAATGTAATTTATTTCTGTGATTGCAAAACTGAATGTTCAGCAGCTATTTCTCCAGTCTTTAGAAATAATTGTAATATGCTGATTTGCACTTTTTTATTATTATCAATAATGAAAACAGTTGTGCTGCTTAGTATTTTTGTTGAAACTGTGATCTTTGATGAATAGAAAGTTCAGAAGAACAGCATTTATTTGAAAACAATTGTAACAATGTAAATGTCTTTACTGTCACTTTTGATCAATTTAATGCAACCTTGCTCTAACCCCAAACTTTTTCTTATATGGTGATCTTTCAAAAAAATGCATAAGGATAAATAATCATGAATACAGTATCAGTTGATGTTTCCTACCAGGCTTTCCATGTACTGAGGCTGATGGTGATACAGTGAGAGTCAGAGTGATGAGCTTGCAGGTGTTTTGTGGAATGCTGAGATTCTGCCTGGTTACAACCCTGAAAGAGAGAGACACAATAGTAAGGTTACCATATATTACCCTCGATGGAAAAAAGTTTTGGACAAGTTTTAGTACAATTCTTCCTGTTCAGCACGGTCAATAAAAATCAAGTGATTGCAAACACAACTTTTTTTTAGACTGTCAAATCAAGGCCAAACAAACCTGTCATATTCCCAAATGTGCTGTCACGGCTTAAATGCGCCATACAAAAACTGTGGGTAAAAGGCAAAGGAAAGAGTAGGGACACTCCAATTACTTTTAGAAAATGCTTTGGACCAGGGGTCAGTGAATAATATGACCTTTTACGCATAGGCCTAATAAAACTTCATTATTTGGTTTTAAAACTTGCAGTACCCAACCGCCAATGCTGTATGTTAAGCCAGCCTACATTTTTTATCTGCACTTTTTACAACAATGTTCAAATGTTTGGGGTCAGTAAGATATGGTTTTAAATACATTGATCAATTTATTCAGCCAGGACACATTAAATTGATCAAGAGTGAAAGTAAAAGACTTTTTTACATTGTTAAAAAAAAATCTATTTCAAATAAATGCTGTTATTTTGAACTTTCCAGTTACCAATCCTGAAAAATCTGTATCTCAGTTTCTATTATACTCTTAAACTGTTTTCAACATTGATAATAAGAAGAAATGTTTATTGAGCACCAGATACGTTTAAATTTAAATTGTAATAATATCTTACAATTTCACTGATTTTACTGTATTTTTCAATCAAATAAATGCAGTCTTGGTGAACGTAAGAGACTTCTATAAAAAAACGTTTTTTTTAATCTTACCGTCCCCCAAACTTTTGAGCAAAATGTTTGACACATCAGTGTGGCATAGAACCTATAAAAATGCCTTAAAATGAATTGTCAGTTATCCTTGCTTTGTGTGTAAATATCTTACAATAAATTGTCTATTTTGGCAGTCAAGTTTCGAACATTTGTGAAATGCAAATATGCCACTAACAACCTGTCACTGCACACTGACAAAACTACAGTACACACAACACAATATATTACTGCTGCAGAATGTGAAGATCTCACCTGGAACCCACACTTGAGGCACACAAGGATGTCATGTGCTCCTGCTTGTTCTCCCTCATGAATGTTCCTCTCTTTAAGGCAATCGGAGCATATAGACCACAGGCTGCCTGTCACTGCCTTCTTCACTGAGCTGAGGTCCACAGCCCTGCTCACATGCTGGCATGTCAACCCTGGATGGCACCAAAATATACACCTTTACTGTAGTTTACAACTCTATGCAAGCATTGGTAAACCCACAATAATAATAATAATAATAATAATGTTTTATTTTTATAGCACCTTTCAAGAACCCAAGGATGCTTTACAAAATAATACAAGCAAATTGGCAAACAAAATACACCAGACTGTCAAGAGCCCAAAGACGTTTTACAAAATAATACAAGCAATTATGTCAAGATAGTGGTCTTCCATGGTAAACTTATGTCATACAAACAGAAGTTGAGAAATAGAGAAGCAGAGAGGTAAATGAGTTATTTAGAGAACAAAGTAAATAGATGAGTTTTAAGTTGAGACTTAAAGGCCTGGAGAGAGGAGGCAGCATGAATATTATGGGGTAGCTTATTCCATAACTTAGGGCCTATAATACAGAAAGCCCTACCACCCACTGTAGAGAGTTTATACTTGGGCACAACAAGCAAGTTATCACTGCTAGATCTGAGAGTCCGTGCAGGAATGTATGGTTGCACTAACTCAGCAAGGTATTGAGGTGCGAGGCTGTGACAGGACTTATAAACTAAATCTAAGAGTTTGAACTGAATGCCAAGTATTGAGGTGCGAGGCTGTGACAGGCCTTATAAACTAAAACTAAGAGTTTGAACTGAATACGTTTGGCCACAGGAAGCCAGTGAAGTTAGTGAAGGATGGGAGTGATGTGTGCAGATTTTTGGTTAAATGTAAGGGCTCGAGCAGCAGAGTTTTGCACCATTTGGAGGCGATTAATAACTTTGGCAGGTAAGCCGCCATATAAGGAGTTACAGTAATCCAATCTGGAGGTTATAAAAGCATGGATAATAGTTTCAGCATCTCCAAAATTAAGTGAGGGACGTATACGAACAATATTCCGCAATTGGTAAAAGCATGATTTAACAATCTGACCAATATGTGAATCAAAGCATAACACAGAGTCAAACAACACTCGCACAGATTTTGCACAGTTGTTGAGGGCCTAATCTGGACACCATCGATATCTATGAAGATGTCATGCTGGGAGGAGCTCTGTGATTTAGGGCCAACCAGCAGATTTCAGTTTTGTCTGCATTTAGTTGTAAAAAGTTATCTGACATCCAGGTTTTAAGTTCTTGAAGACAGGAAACTATAGAAAGGGGTGGACAAACTGAGTTGAGTTGAACCGTAAAATAGATTTGAATATCATCAGCGTAGCTATGAAAATTGAGACCATGACGTCTGATAATCTGACCCAATGGCAGCACGTAAATGAGAAATAGAAGTGGACCAAGTACAGAACCTTGGGGGACACCACGGGAAATAGTGACAGTGTGAGATCTAGTCTTATCTATCCTAACGAATTGCTGTCTATCCGATAGATATGAAGTTAGCCACTGAAGAGCAGCATCAGTGATACCTATAGCAGACAGTCGAGAAAGAAGTACGGAGTGGCAAACAGTATCAAAGGCTGCACTCAGATCAAGGAGAACCAGGATACTGTGGGCACCTGAATCAAAAACCAGAAGGAGATCATTAACCACTTTTAAAAGTACTGTTTCTGTGCTGTGAGAGGGACGGAAACCAGATTGAAACTGCTCATAAAGATTATGTTTCTCTAAATGAGACTGCAGTTGTGCTGCAACTACCTTCTCAAGTATTTTAGCAACAAATGGGAGGTTTGATATTGGTCTAAAATTGTTCAGATCTATGTTATCAAGACCAGGTTTCTTAAGGATTGGGGTGACGGCAGCTACTTTTAGGTCTTGTGGAACATAACCAGTGTCAAGGGATTTGTTTATAATATGAGTAATAGGTTGGATGAGTGAAGGCAAAAGGGTTTTGAGTAAGTATGTTGGAATAGAATCAAGTGTGCTGGAGGCATAGTTAGATTTGATAATCAGTTGTTCGACCGCAGATATATTTGTGGGTAAGAAAGTGTTGAGTGGGTGAATGAACTTCATGCATGATAGATCCTTAATGTCTGATAAATCCCTTAGATGCTTCTCTGTGATTTTTTAAATGAGTACCAAGCATCCAATGAATAATGTACTGGAATGAGAAATGACATTGAAACCTTTCCTTACCGCCAACCTCGTCAGACGAGTCTTCATCACGAGGCTTCTTTGGCTTGTTAGACCGCTTGGTCATGTCTGCGGTTTTTAAAGAGAAGGGGTCTTTCAGCCGCATTTGTATCTAGGAAAAAAGTCACTCACTAAGTATGAGAGCCCACAGCACAGTTAAAATTGTGTTTCTGAAGCCTAACACTCTGAACATTATCATACAACACATGCCTGGGAGCCAGGGCTCACTAGAGGGCCTTGGCAAGCTTCCAAGGTGGGCACAAAATTACTTTTACTTTAAAAGAACTATATTAAAACAAGTCATTGTCATTAAAAGGCTAAAGACTGCTTTTTAAAAAATAACTAATAGGCTACAAATTTTACAAAATTTAAAAATATATGAATTAACATTATGTTAAAAAATATATAATGCAACTACAATGCTAAAAAATATTAAAATAATACAATGTAACTAAAAGGCTAAAAACTGCTAAAATAAAATTATATGTAAAATATATTAATTAGCCTAACATTATATAAAAAATATAGTGCAACTACAAGGCTACAAAATATTAAAATAATACAACGTAACTAAAAGGCTAAAAAAACGCTAAAAATCAAGACTCACAAAATGTAAACATTATATTTCATATTCTGATTTCCCCTCAACAAATTTTGTTTTCACTGAAGAACATATAGTTTTAAAACTCTGTAATTAATATAATCTATCGACACTCCTGAGTATTGTTCCTTTCCATCTCGGTGGGCAGACATTGCAGTCACTATAAGCCCTATTTGAACCACATGTATACTATACCAGCATTTGAATACAATTTTGATAAGGAAGTCTCCAGTACAACCATTAATTAGAACTGACGAATCAGGAAGTGAGGATAATAAAGACATACAAAGGAAATAAGTTATTAGCACAGCCACTGTAACAACAACAGCCCGACACCTGAGACTTGCCCAGGTAACTGATACAAGTGACAGCAGGTACCGGCTGGTTAAAGGCCTTTGCTTCTTTAGTAAGTCAGAACTGTTTATAGCACAATGTTGCTCCAAAAGAGTGGCTATAAACATCAAATGGTCTTTGGCTTACAGTAATAAACCCAGCTCACCCTGTTTATGGTCCCCTCCTCTCCAGGCTCACTACCAAGTTAACGTCAGTTGTCAAGTGGCCAAGTGGAAGAGCGAAGCTGATAACTTACATATGCTTCCAAGTTTATAAATACGAAAGGATTTCTGCCTGTAGTTTTGGTGTTCGAATCTAACACTTCGACAATCAGAAATCGAGTAATCCCGAGACGCAGTTTATATTCTGATTAACAGAGTTTGTCCGCGTATTTGGTGGCATTCGGAGAAGAACAGAAAGCACAAGTATCACATGTGTCACGTGGTCGCGTACTCAACGACGCACTACGGATACTTGTATGGCCAAACTCGTTTGTCTATCTACTGTAGTTACAAAAGAGCTGTTTTAAAAGTGCTGTGGTGTTTTCTATAAATGTTAAGCGCTAAAGGGCAGTATAATATAGAAAACGTAACTTTTATTTTTTTCTATTTTTTATGATACTCTATTTTTATTTTACTGTTTGCATCATTTAATCAGTTACACTTTGCAACATATCTATTATGCATTAGGCCTATACATTGTATTTGCACATTTCACTTGTCTTCGCATTTTTTTATGTTAATATGCATATATGAGATCTGAACCCTGACTTTCATTTTTAATGGAATAACAATGTATTATTCATATAGAAATTAAAATAAAGGTACACTCTGCATTTTCAAATGCTTTTTTCAAAAGCAAGCACCACTAATTAAAAATGTAATTCCTGCATGTCCACTTTCTCTACTAAGATTAGTTTAACATTGGAACCACATAGCACGCGTGGGTCTACATTTTTCATTGCCAGTCAAATTATAATCAATAAACATGACAATAATTACTTATATATCAAAATACAGTATAGCACTTTGTTAAACAGATATACAAAAAATAGGAAAAGAGAAAGTCATAAAGAAAAAATTGAATTAAAACGAAAACAAAAAATAGGAAAAAAGAGATAATCATATAAACAACTTAAAAATTTTTGCATACGAGTTTGGGAGTCAAAAGAGGAGCCAGCGTATGAGCGTCACTGGTAATACGTAGTTGTGCGCATGCGTGCAGGAGTAGTGGGTAGCTGCAATCCAGCTACGTAACTTACAATCAGTTGTACCGTGTTTTCGGCTATATTTAAATACAAAACAAGAAATAAGGAGCATCGTCATCTTGCAGCTTTCATTACCATAACTCCTATCATGGCGTTAAATGTCTATTCACGGCTGACGAGGAGTATAGTCCGCGTTTTAGCGAGCAGAAGTGTCATTCCTGTTACAAGACAACTGACAACTACTTCATGCTGGACACATTTGCGTTGCTTACAGCGTGAGTGTTGAAATATTGCATTGATATTTAACAGTTAAATTTAATACACCGTGCTTGACATCGATGGTTCTAAAAAATCACGGTGAATCTTGCATTTATCTCTACCGATTTAACATGTCATTTCTGGCTCTGCGTATTTGTAAAAGTTTGGGCTGTAAGAAGTACTTGTATAAATTATTCTAAAGGTGACATGTTTCTTTTGAAAGGTAAATATCACATGACTACTACACGTGTAGCAGAAGAATGGCCTCTGTTGGCCAAACGTGTCTATCTGTCTTTCAGACATCCGTGTCATTCGTTATGATGGTAGTTCATTACGAAATTTCAGTTCTTCAAGCCAGCCTTCAATAGATGTGTCCTACGAGCAGCTGAAGAAACTGCTGCTGTCCGACTCCAGTGTGGTTATAGACGTCCGTGAGCCGTGGGAACTCCGGGAATACGGGAACATACCGGGGTCAATTAACGTGCCATGTAAGTCAGTGCGTGGCCTAACAAGTATACTGTTTATTTAAAGACACATCATATAAATTACAATGCTGTACCTTCTCTTCTGCAGTGGGACAGGTGAATGGAGCTCTCCAGCTCACGCCTGATGATTTCAAGGAGAAATACGGAGGAGTCATGCCATCACAATCCCAAAATATAGTGTTCACCTGTCTAGCTGGTGTAAGAAGCAAAAAAGCCCTGGAAACGGCAGTGTCTTTAGGATACACCAAGTGAGCAGTTATTTTTAATATACAATAAGGGATGAATGTAATATTTTAATGCAGGGCTGCCCAAACTTTTTACTTTTTACTATGATGGGTCAAAAATCAAACCTGATTGCAGGCCATAGGCCAAAATTAAATGTTGCATTTTTCCAACTATATTTTATTAAAATATTAATTTTTGAAATGCAATTCACTTATATTTCAAAGCAAAAATAAAACAAAAAATGGTGGAACAAAACGCTAAATTAGAAATAAATACATGCTTCAATGGCATGTCCCCCCCACCTTGTGATATAGCATTGGTGGGCCAAATCAAAGGTCATCACAGGCCAACTTTTTCCCTAGTTTGGGGATCTCTGTTTTAATGGTTTTTCTCTGTTATTCTCATCATAAGTATGTAGATGCATTAGTATCATTCACACATTATAAGCCAGACTATGCTCAATTTTATATAGTATACTAAGGTTGAAAAACAAACAATAAAACCATGCTAATATGTGAAATAAAAGGATAATTCTAGGATAAGTGCTTTTATGAAATGCATAACAGAAAATGTTATTTTTTTCTGACTAAATAAAAGAAATTGCACATTAAAACCAGTAAACCAGTTTAAGATCAATATGCTATAGTGCTGTATATTGAAGTTATGTTTGCTTTAGTTGTCTAAGTTGTCTCTCTCTTCTTGTAGGGTCCAGCATTATCCAGGTGGATGGCAAGAATGGGCAGAACATCAATTAATACAAACCAAAGAGTGATTGTCACGCTGTAGTCATGTTAACACTGTGATAGAAGTTTGATTGACTTGTACTGCAGTCTGAATTATACCTTTGACATGGAGTCAAAATGTTCCAGTAAGACTGAATCATTTAACGGTATTGACTGGAAATAAAGGAATGGTGTGATTATATTTTAAGCCTAAAAGATGCACTGTTATATGATGTGAGCAGTGCACATTCTACACTGATATTTTATTTGATGTGGTCAGTTTGAATGGGAAGTGCAGTGGCCTATAGTGTGTATGTTACAACTTCTGTTCAAAGAGCTCTTGGCTATTTGCCTAATAGTTCAACCTAAATATTTTGAGCAGGCAATCCAAATATCAGGAAAACAGTATCAATTTTATTCAGTGATTTATGAAATCAACATAGCACTGTTTAAAAGTAACTGGAAAGTTATGTTTTTGTATTCTTGAAAATAAAACCTTGATGCTACATTGCGTGTATTGTGATTATTTGATATAAAAAAACAAATCTGTGTTATCTCACATTTGTCTTTTTGGATAAAATATCTGCTAAATACTTAAATGTAAAATTTAAATAAATATTAAAATGCAGGGTGTAACTCATCCTTCATCATTTGTGCTACAAATATGAATATCAGCATTAAATGGAGTGGCTTTAGTTTTGCACAGGAAAAAAATACTTTCTTCACAAAATGTAAAAATCAGATGTACATATCCTTGTAATTTAGTGAACTACAAAAACACTTTATGTGCAAATACATATTTTTTAAAGAAATTAATACTTTTATTCAGCAAAGAATATTCTATTTCAAATAAAGTATGTTCTGTTAAACTTTCTATTCATCAAAGAACCCTGAATGAATGACTGTTTTAACAAAAATATTAAGCAGGACAACTTTCTCATCACAGGAATAAATTACATTTTAATATTTAATGGTATTGTTAATGTTTATTTGCTTATGCATGTTTCAGTGTAATCTGTGACTAATGATAACAAGAGCTGTATATGGCACTGCCATTATATAATCATAGAAGATTGTCTTACACGCTCACAAAAAGAGGTACAAAATCTGTCACTGGGGCAGTATACTTTCCAAAGGTAAATCTTTGTACCTAATTATTAACTAAAAGATATAGTGTACATATTAATACCTCACTAACTTTCTTTTCTGAGAGTGCAGTGTTAGTCTTATTAGTCATATTAGTCTTTGAGCTATACTTATGTTTACGATTATAAGAATGATGTGTACCATTGTCATTAATGTGGATGTGACAAAGCTGTCTCTTACTGATGAATCTGAAATGTAGAAAATTGTTTTAATTATAAGTGAGCAAAGCAGCATGAGCAGACAAAGATAACAGTGGCTTATTATTGGCAATAAAGAGGCTAGTCTATTGTCTTTACCAATGCTGTCATAGTTTTTTTTTTCTGTATGAGCACTGCTATAGGGATGAGTGACTAATGTACTGTAATTGAATGAGACAGCAGGAGTAAAATAACGCCTGAGTGTTTGAGCTCATTTTGCCACTGTTCACATCTCAGAGAGATGCAGACCCATCCTTCCTCCCACATGCCTGGCAATCTTAGATAGTTGGAAAGAATCTCATAAACCACATTTGGTCAGCATTAAAACAAAAAAAGAGTTCTGTAATGAATAAAGATTAGACCATATTTCAGCTGAAACTGACTTTTTAAGAAAAAATTATTCTTTAGATCCTGATTAAAGAGACTCCAAGGACTTTGTAATTCCCACTTACATCCTTTAGTCATCTCAAGCGTGAATCTCAGACAGGCCAGCAAAACACTCTAGTTAATTCCTCTCGCATTTCTCATTTTTGCACATTCTGCCATGTAAATAGTGACCACATTAGTGTCATCTCCCTCTGCTCAGATTGACCTTATGACATTACTCCTTGCCCTGTCTAGAAGAATGTGTAATTAAAATCCCTACATATCAAACCACATCACATCACGACTGCACCTCCAGACTAATGGAGCCTTGTCTCATAATTTACCCCTTCATTCAACACCTCTCAAGACCCTGACAGATGTTCAAGTGACGGGCCCAATTCTTGATGGAGCAGAGGCTCAACATTCCCATAGCATTGACTCATGTTTATAGCGGACTATAAAACGCCTGGATCTCTGGGAGTCTGGATTTGCGAGCAGAACTTGTGAGAGGAAGATCAACACAGCAAGGCCTTAAAGTTTAGCCACTGACCCATGATGAGTCGCAGCCCAGAAAGGATCTCATCCTATCGCCGCCATTTCGAGGACACCAGCACCTCCTCTTACCAGGTGAGGGTCAGCAGCCCTTCTCCCATCAGACGGGATGTCGGGAGGTGCCGTTCAGCCAGCTACACCCGTAAAGCCAGCGCTGTCAGCATGAGCATGGCAGTGGGCCGGAGGACCATCTCATCCTCACGCAGTCAGTCCTTCATGACTGGGTAAGCATTGCCCATCCTGCCGGCACAGATAAATAAAGGAACAATGCAGAGCATCATCACATGCATTAAACTAAATGCAATTTGTTAAA